ACCCTTTTGATTGTTTTTTTAAAATCTCACATGATAATTACATAGATAGCCGGAAAAAAAAAAAACTTTTCTCTTTTGTGTGTGAATATTGCTACAAAGATGAACAAACTAAAAGTACGAGGACAACAACTCAAAGCAAACCTAGGAACAAATATTCAATGTAAGAGTGACTACCATTATTATTAAACATTGACCATGTAAATTTCACATAATTTAATAAAAAAAAATTCTTGTAATCAAATAATAACCACCATATATAAAGTAGTGAGTTCACTTTGTTTTTATTAAATGAAAGTATCATGTGGCGATAATAATATAGTGTTATTGTTACATTCAATATTTAATTTTTGACACTTAGTATTTTTCTTTTGTTTTAACCCAATTAAAACCCGAGGCCATTTGTATTCATTGTGTAAATTTTGACTATGCATAGATAAAATTAAAATTCAGACATAATTAATTGGTTAAATTTCATATTGTTCCAAATTGAAATGACTTCAATTTTTGATGAAAAATAGCTATGAAAATCAACCGGGTATAAACCCAGTTGGCCAGCCTTAATACTCTCGTCGAGAAAGTTAGGGGTCAATCACCGCTTAAAAAGATTGATTTCTTACGTGTCTTTCAATTCAAGAGTTCGGTTGTATTTTTTTTTGTCATTTTTTTTTTTGAGAATTTTGAACGCTTCTTTCGAGCTTGCAATTAAACTTATAATAGAGATTAATCATTGTACGTCGAAAAACACGTACGCGACTAGCTCATTTACCCCTCAAAATATTAATATGTTTTACATTGCGTAATGAACAATGTTTGTTAGTCTCGCACTGTTCCAATGTATGAAGTGTCATTTGGACTTGGGGCAAGTGAACCAAATCTATGGATGGGTCTAAAAAGAGAATGCAGTGGCGATTACCCCCAAAAGTTGAAAATTATTCGTAGTAATATTAGTATTAGTTAATGTCGGAAAAAACATTATTAGTAATACCTATAGACCATCAAACTACAGAGGTTCAATCTACACAATTTTTTTTTTTCAAACTTTAGGGAAAATTTCATCGAGACCTTCAGTAGTTAGGTCTAAATTTAATGACATTCTCTCCCGATTTTGGAATATCACTGTCACCCTCCTATGAGTGCTTGTCGGGTTACAGTATTAACGATGATTGTTGATATCCCTGAGTATTTTGTAAGGTAAATTTTATCCACACTCCTTATAATTAGACCTAATTTTAACAATACTCGCTCTCGATTCTGAAATTTTAATGCACTCATTTTTAGTTCTATTATATTAGTCTTTAAGTTCATCAATTTAACATTTAATTTTAACAAATTAATGGCTTTTATTTAATTTAAATTAAATTAACATTCCACCTTATTAAATCAATACAAAATTGATATTTAATTATTATTTAATTCCATCAAATCAACACTAAATTAACATTCAATTTTATTAAATTAAAATTTAATATATTAAATAGAATATTAAGTTCTATTAATTCAACATTTAACCTTATCAAATTAATGTCATTTATTTAACTTAACATGAAATGAAACATTCAATTTTATTAAAACAACATTCAAATTTATCCAATTAATATTAAATTTTGTCAAATCAACACTAAATTAATATTTATTTTTATCAAATTAACACCAAACTAATATTTAAATTTATCAAATTAAGATCAAATTTATTCAATTAATATTAAATAATATTTAAATTTTATATATGAATGGTGATGTGTGAAAAGTGGTCGGGTGACATTACGGAGGACAGACGATAGCATAAGAGTTAGAAATAGATGAAATTTTGACATTCACTTTATCGATTGTAATTTGTATTATAGAAAAATTATTTTTAACCATAAAAATTATAAATACTCGATTATGTAATCAAATGAGTGATAATATGATGACTAATATTATAACAAAGTTATCACGCAACGCTTTGAAATGATAAAAATTCATTAGGATAATATAATGACAGATATCTCGCTTGCTAGCTGGCTAGAGTATATATAATGGGGAAATAATTTAGGGTATTGTAGTTTATTTATATAATAAAGGGTAATTTTAATATTTTTATAATATAAAATATTTAATCAAATCATTTATTTTTCCACTGGCAGTGGTAAAATTATCGTTCAGATGTATCATTGAAATTAGACTTAATTATTGGAGGTGTTGATGAAATTTTTCCTAAACTTTAAAGGTAAACCATGGAACTTTGGCTCTCCTAGACTAACTTCCATGATCCGTCCCTACCCCTAACCATGAATCATATCCACTAGACAAGGTTCATTTAAAAGCTTAAGCTTACTTTGAAAGGTGTCGAGATAATTGATAAACAAACAAAACAAATATTCCCACGCCTTTATAATCGGCTTTAAAAACATAAGCAACTTTCGAAGGAGTTAAGGTAAATATAAACAAACACAACGAGAATTTCCACCACTGAATATCTAAGACACATAGTATGGCAAGAAGATCAAGGCAGAGAAATCCCTGTACTTGAAACATTTTCTCTCCTTAGAGAGAATGAATAGCAAGTGACATAAAATAGAAACCTGTCCAAAGACATTAGTTCAACAGTTGAACCTTTAGACCCTGAAAACAAGAACAAGCTCATTAAGACTGCACTCTCTAGTCTCTACCTATTCTTGAAAGGGTTAATCTTGATAACCAAACCAGGAAAAACGTCATCCGGCTCATGGATATGTGGATTCTCTTCAACAATATATTGATCCCCACACTTTTCACTGATAGTATGCAGAGTCTCTCCCTCTCGAACCACATAAATCTCATCACATGGCTTATTCAGGTCATTCCAGTTCACCGGCACCATGTATTCGCTTTCAGTTGAGTCACAGCAGCTCAGGGCCAGCATTAGTGCCAAAAGCAAAGCACAGTACCAGGACACCTTCTCAGCCATTGCAGTCGATGATCGAACACCTGCCATGAGTTTAATCTTCAAGGTTTTCAAGTAAGTTTCATCCCTTGTTTCGGGTATTGTAAGCTTGGTATAAAGGGTATTTCTAGTGTTTATGTAGAGGATTAAGAGGTGGAATTTGATGTGCTAAGTGAGGTGTGATGTTCCTTTCCAGTTTCCACAGGTCGTTGAAGTGGGTGGAGTTTCTTGCGGGAGTTGGGACGGTTCCTTCAGTGTGGTAGGTAACTGTCAGGGGGAAGACATTGAAAAATAAAGGGAGGGAAAGTTGGTTCAACTGTTTTGTTAAATGAGCTAAGACTTAAACCTCTTTCCAAGCCAAGAAAAAGAGTCCAGAGATTTGATTGCTCTGTCGATAGTTAAACGAGTTCCAACTGAGCAAGTCTAGCTTGAACGAGCCCAAAACGAACTGAATTTGAATTAAGTTTGAATATTTTTGCATAAACGAGTTAAGCTGAGTCTGTCAGACTTGTTTTTCAAACGAATTTAAAAAGTTATTCAAGTTTGATTCATTTAAAAAACGAGCCGAATTTGAATAAACCAAAAATAAATCGAACTTGAACTGAGCTCGAGTAGCTCCGTTTGATTAATAGTCCTACTCTTAAGTTTACATTAGTCGTACAAGTGACCGGCAATGCACGAGGTTTACGTCTCTTATTGCATCTCAGCATATCTATCCTGCTCCTACCCTAAACTGTTTACTTTGTGTATTGGAGATGTTTAAAAAGAACAGAGATTGCGAAATTGAAGAAAGAATAAGAAATCAAGAGAGCGATTTGTGCACAACACGGAAGAGTTTGGTTGGAAGGAATTTTGTTTTCCTTTTTCAATTTAGCAAGTTAGAAAAAGGGAGAGTTAAGCAAATTTCAAAGAAAGGCTTCCTTCACAATTTGATAGTTATATATACAATTATACATCCATCTGTAACGTAGACAAACAAGAAATCTAAATTTTCTGAACTTAAATTTTGATAATTCTTTAGCGCCACATTATAAAAAATTATTATTCATGAATACTCTAATTTCACCATAAATGACCAGTCTTTGACCAGACCAAAGAGAGAATTAGTCAAAATATGCGTAAATTAATTCAAACACGACCGTTTAACCAAAAAAAGAAAAAGAAACTAGGCTTCACTTATAACATGCTTATATTATATGGGTACATATTTAAATTGTGTTTCTCATTCTTTCTTTCTTTTTTTTTTTTAAAATGGTTTGGGATTTTTTTTTCACAAAAGCAGCATTTATATTACTGACTTGAAGATTCATTCATTTAGGATAGTGCATTGAATATTCTACATGATATTTAGATGGAATGACATCAAGTTTATGAAGCAGTTTAAGTTTTTTCAGGTCACACCTCAGACATGTTCCAGTGGATGAACTGCATTAAGATAACATGTCTAGACAATTCGACAATTACAAGAAATTTTCAGCAATAATAATCCAGTTCAAATTAAACATGCCTAGACAATTCGACAATTACAAGAACTTTTCAGCAATACTAATCCAATTCAAATTAACCTTCCACTCCCACCACCATGGGTTCCCGGTTGCTAGAAATCAGAGACGGCCCAATCTTTCATTTTTACAGTTTCTTTCATTGTTTGGGGGGGGTGTAAAGCGCAAGATCCAGCAGCAATCAACGTTTCATCAACATTTTCTTGATGTAAAAAAGAACTTCATCCACATTAACCGTCCATGCAACTGAAACAGGGGAATAGCCTGACCATGGGTTGCTTGAATTCCACCTGTTCCGATTATTTTGACAAAATTAAAGACGATAATATAGGCTAATCCAGGCTCAATGGAGTAGATTTAGTTGAAACATACGTTTTTAGTCCTTGGTCCATTAGCGTATGCCCTACACAGATGCCCTGTGTCTCAACCCTCACAACCCCATTCTTGTATGTAAAGAGATCAGGCCGAACTAGTGCCACAAAACATACTGGGTCATGAAGGAAAATTCCTGAATATGTCAACAACAAAGCATTATTTCAATAACCTTTATCAAGAGAAAATAGAAGCTGCCAGGTAATAAACAAATGAAAGAGGAAAATATTATGATCCTGTAGGTTATGACAACAACAGTACCATAAACGCCGTCAGACTTTACATGCCAGTCTCGGTAAAATTTGCACATGTTGGATATAAATTGAGCATGTCTTCCTCCAGACTGTCTCAAATCAGAGAGGTCGGCATCTGAAATAATAAGATGGTATACTTTCAGAAAGAATATTTTTTTAAGTGAGAGTGGCATATAAATGCAACTATGAATTGGGGAAGTCAAAAGGGGGACTAGCACCTGTCATTTTGACTTGTGTTGTAATATTGATCCCAACGACCACAATATGTGCCCCAGAGGTGAACACAATATCTGCTGCTTCTGGGTCCCCATAGATCTACAAGTCAAAAAAAAAGACTAGTGTCATTTTTTTTCTCCTTATTATCGGTTTATATTATATTTTTTATTTATTTGTGCATCCTTCTTATTGGGGGGAGGAGGTTTAAGTTGAAAAAGGTTTGGATGAACTAAAACCTTGAACTAAATCCTGCCGCTTCAGGGCCCCTCCATAGATCTGCAAGTCAAAAAGATGACTATTGACATTGCTTTTCTCTTTAGTATCATTATAGTATTAATATTTGGTTTTTCGTTTTCTATACTTTTTATCTGGGGGGGAGTTTTAAGTTGAAATGGCTTGGGTTAACTAAAGTATTGAACCAAATCCTGCTGCACCTAATGTAGAGTTCCACAATCCTACAATAGATACCATAACAGAGCTCATCCAGATGACTGAGGTGAAAAAATAATTAATATAACGGTGGTTCTAGAAGCAGAAAGTCCTAGTTTACTTATACTTCTATTGACAGACATGGGCTGAACTGATGTGTAAAGTGTAACCCTAATTTTTAAGAGGTTTTTCTTCAGAGTAAGAAAAAAATTCCTAGGAGTTAACTCTCTTTAGAAATGATTAAGATGGAAACAGGAGGAGACAGGATTAAGACAACTTACTTACAAATCTCCCTAGTATTAATACATGTAAGAGAGAACAGTGTAATTGAGTAATCTAAATCACTTCTTCCAATAAAGAAGAGAGAAGTAATAACACTTATCACATACATTTGCTTCTGCAGCTGGATTGACATTTCCTAAAGCAAAGAAAGCCCCACCAAGTATGACCACCTTTTTCACCTTGCTGGCAAAGGTTGGGTCCCTTTTGACAGCCTAATTCAGAGGTTAAACATTAAAGTAATGCAAAAGACTATGCAACAAAGAAACTTGAAAGTATGAAACATGTGAGATTACACTGAGACAAAAGGACACCAGAACTAACCATGGCCAAGTTTGTCAGGGGTCCTAGCGCAAGTATAGATACTTCACCAGGATATTCAGAGACTTTATCAACTAAAAATTTTGATGCAGTCTTCTCAATTTTCTTTGATTTTGGAGGAGGTAAATTTATGTTTCCCAATCCATCTGCACCATGAGCAAAGTCTGCAACACGTGGTATTCCCCCCTAATCAAAAAAATATGTAAATGTTAGGATAGCCATATTATGGTCTAAATAAAAAAAAAAATTAGGAAAGGATACAATGAAGGTGTATTGAAAGTAGAGTATATTAAGACCCACTCCAGTCCTCTACTCAACCAACTGGAAAAAGCAATTGCTAAAGTAGGACTTTAAGTGTCTAAGCTTACGCTGAGCTGTAGGCACCGCCCAATAACTATATAAGTGCATCATTGCAGTTATGCATATATGTATTTATGTGCAATGCCCAAGTATTTTGTTTGTAAGCAGAATAAACAAAGCATGTAGAATGTAAATGAGAAAGGTTTACACTTTGATATAGAATTTGTTGATTCAGTTGAGAATACATATAAAAGAAGCTACCTTCAGAGGTTCAGAGCTACCCTCTGCCACCGGAACACCTGGATATCCTGCGATCTCACACTATCCTTTTGCACATTAAAAACGGTAATTGATCACGAACATGTTCCAAAAACATGGATGATATGAAATTATAGCAAATATAAAAACTAAAAATCAACTAAAGCAAAAAACATACCAGATGCAATGCATTATGAGTGGCATCTTCCGTAGCAACGTTACCAAATATTGTTGTTAAGCCTAAGATTTCCACAACTGGCGTTTGGAATGCCATTAAGATAGCCATGCTATCATCTGTAGACCAAAAGAAACCCCACTCACATCTCAAATGACACATAGGAACAGATTCACTTATAATATTAATGATTCAATATTCTTATTCACTCATCCCAGGAGACAATACACAAAAAGGTTTCTCCTTTTCTGTAATAGCTCCTTTTGTTTGCAAGTAAATAAAAAAAGGTAAAAACTCATTTCACCAAAAAAAAAGTTTTTATTGACAAAAAATAAACTTCAGGTACTGGTATTTGCTCCACAGCTGATGATAAGGAACACGATCACTTATTCAAACATATATAGAGGCAAAATATATTTTTTTTTTCATAAATTCTCGTTTCCTATCAGGATAAAAACATCTACAACTTCCCTGCAGAGTCCCTAAAAAATTTAGGTTGTAAATTTATTATCTTAAGGAAAAACATGTTTCAGCCCCTAATTTTCACTTTTATTTTCAACATGTACATAAAAATTGCTTGGTCCCGGCAAATAAATTCGTGCTCAACACAGGCATTTCATAGGTTCATGCTTAGTCCACCCATCCCCGCATTTCACAAAACTTTTCCTTTGGGGTTTTTTTTTTTTTTTTCCTGTTCTTTGTGGGTGAAGGAGGAGAGTATTTTCTTGGCATTACGAAGAATCCATAGCAATAGAAACCAAAGTTTGGATCCAGCAATTCTTTTACTTTCAGTTTCAATTCCAACAAAAAGCAAAATGAAAAGTATTAATTATTCTTATTGCTTGACAATATTTGCCACAAAATCAACAAATTCCGGGAAAAAAATAACGACAATACATAACCCACACACACTGATAGAGAGAGAGGGAGGGAGAGAATGACTCACCAATACCAGGATCTGTGTCGATAATGATCTTTTCAGGTTTAGCAGCAGAACGCGGCACCATGTCTATTGCGCCATCGACTACACCACAGTGATGATTCGACATCACATTCACCGACTCCATTTGTTTGAAAACCACCACTGTGTGTGTGTGTGTGAGAGAGAGAGAGAGAGAGCTGGGCTTTGGAGAGAGCTAAATAACAATCAAACTGGTGTTTCAGGTTTTGGTAGTACACACATATATAATGTGTCGTGTGTGTATATACATTTAATGGCATTTTTTTGAATTTTTATTTGTTTATTTTAATAACTAATGACAAAATTATTCAAATCAAAAATTTTGATATAATTAGTGTCATTATATAATTCATATCTAACGAATTATATCATGTATGAATTGAGTATAACTGATATATACACAAGTCATACAGTGAATTTCTTTTCATTGATTTTATACATACCCAATTTATTTATTAATCATGTTTTATTGGATTCACTGGTTTAAGAAACAAGTGATTTAAAAAAAATTCAAACCATCTAATTTTGTATCGTGTTAACAGATCGTGTCATATTTTAACACTCCTAATTATGGATCTAATTATAATATTATTTTTTTTTTTAGAATATTGTAGACTTATTATTTCTTAAATCATTCTCACCTTTTTCATTTGTCTCCCCACCTACCCAACAAACGACCTTTCACTATCCCTGGTGGTATATGTTTTGGATTTGGTGTTATATTTGTGCACCAAACACCAAATAATTGGCTGGCCAAGTGGCTTAGTCCAATTGGATTGGTATCTCCTACTTTTAATTCCCTTCGTTAAATCATAGGCTAAGCTTACTGGATAAGATAATATCTAAAACAATAACAATGGTAGAAACGACTGAAGTATAGTTTTAATCGAGATGTATTAGGTTTAGCCATAACGCCCAAGAGGGCATCTATGCACCTATGCTCTAGGTAAGTTCGGGAATCGGATCTCCTCATCATATATTCTTTCCGAGGCTCGGTCTCTGTCCATATAATAAGTAAAGGCACAAAATAGTGTTAATCAAAGTAATCATTTGATAAGGGTGGTATTAATTGTTAATAACAACTAACTAAGGTAGAGATGTACGAGTCAGTTTAAGCGTATCTCAATTAATTCTTTTTTTGGTATAATCAAAGGCACGGTCAAAGGTGTGTGGATCAATTTACGCACTCCTCAATTAATATATTTTTCGGCCCGGTCAAATATAAGTCATCTACGTCAAGACTAAGGTATTCATGAGGGATAAATCCCTCGTAACCTCAAACAATTATTAAAATTTAAAGTCAAAACATCTGAATTTATAACTCATCTATATTATCACTTGAAGCAGCCACTGGAGTTGTCAATTCACTTTCCAAAAACAAATTAATGTTAGAAAAAATGTAGGTTTGGGACAAATTCCATGGTGACCGATAAATTTATGTTGCATTTTTGTGTCAACATAGTGAAGTTATGTTCTATAAATAACCAGCTCAACCTACCTTAGTTAGTCATCCCTAATACCCTCAATCAGAAGGTTAGCAGTGGAGCAATCTCGAAATTTTAGTATTCCTCGCTTTGAAGACAGTATTATGCTTTTTCTTTATCCTTTCTTTAGAATTGTATCGTCTTCTTTTTTTTTCGAATTTCATGTTTCATTATTAGAATTATCCATTTAAACTTCATTATACTACTTAGTTGTTATTAAAATGTCCCTTAATTTAATTTGTTAGGTCTCCCATGGACTTTTCTGGTCAAAAATGTCCACCTAGAGAAATTTTGGACCATTTGGTAGTTGAACAACATGGATTTCTTGGCTAGAAGTGAATCATCTTGATGCCAATCCATCTTGCCTAACTTTTGAAACAACTCACTTGAATTGTTTGAATAGTACAAACAATATTTCACATTTGTATTCTAATTTCAATTAAAGATTCAACATTACTCTAGGATGTCTAGTTTGAGTACACTCAATTGTAAGGGGTAGAAATCGCTACGGATCTCATCCCTCCACTTGAAGGATTTCGGCTTGACCTGGGTTAACCCACGCGGGCGACCCCCCAGTAGCCTTTACCCCTCAGTGCCCGCAGGAGGTACCCACTAGCGACCTGATCAGGTGTCTAGTGGGTACCTCCTCCTTTGAGTGCAAGGGCTTATATGCGAGGAGGGGAGACGACTCTCAGTCGATGTGGGACGTAGCTCCTGCGGGCACTGAGAGGTAAAGGCTACTGGAGGGTCTCCCGCGTGGGTTAACCCAGGTCAAGCCGAAATCCTTAGTAGAGGGTTCTACCCTTTACATCAATAATAACATAGACAAACTGTAAATTTATACGTCTTGAGTTCGAATCTTAGTAACTCTCTGGGATCAGACCATAAAAAATTTATCCTTCATGAGTATGCTAGTCCCAATGTGAATGGTCAACATTTAACCAGACTGGGAAGGTGAATAGTCGTGGTGCGTATAAACTGACTTAAATATCCCTGACTGTTGAATTAAAAAGAAAAATATTAACACTTGATTCAAGCACTCCCAATGGTAGTATCAAGTTTACCATTTATCCAATCTTGTTTAAATTGTATTTGGTTCAAAAGTTGAGATAAACTATGAATATTATCCTTATACATATCTTAAGCTTGCATTAGCAATTCATGTATAATATTAAATTAAAAAGACAAAAATACCCTTTCAACCGATCCATCCAAAACCATGTCTACAATACCCTGACAATTTCTGATCCTAAGTATAGTCTAAGATCGATTTTATACCACCCATCACATGGAATCCATTTACAGTGTTGTGTAGCGTTAGATGCATCGGGCCAATGTTAACTTTTTAACTCATTTCATAAGATTGAATCCTATAATTAGATCGAAACACTTTAGTCCGATCTTATACTTATTGGGCTCGTTTGATTACCGTATTAAAAATAGATAAAATAATACAGTCTAATACAATACAAATGGAATAAAGACAAGATTAAATATGATATTAAAATAATACGTAATTTTATCTAGTGTTTGACAATACACAATATAAGCGTTGGATAATACTCCCTCCGTTTTCTAAATATCTGTCATTTAAGATTTTTGCACAGGATTTAAGGAAGTTATTAAATAACTCTAATATGAGTAAAAAATAATTGCACAAAACTAAAATACCTCTATTAAATATGTATCGGGAAGGAAAAAAATATAAAAAGACACTTAGTCTAAACTTAACCTATTAAGCACTTATTGAAAAACATAGATAAAGGTAAATTTGAAAGAAAAAATATTAATTATGCTTTGATTTCATTAAACGACAGATATTGTGGAACAAAAAAAATTACGTAAAACAATAAATATTTGAGAATGGAGGGAGTAGTTATTTAATCCAATCATCAGTTTGTTTAGTTACAAAATTATTTCATTGTATTAATGTTGAATTAATAAAAATGTTTTCAATTAATGTTTGTTACATTGATGACAACTTGAATTTATCACTTGAGGAATTATAATAATAAATGTCTAAAATAATACGTTTGAGTTGGATTATAATACCACCTCTTTTGGTGGTATTAAAAAATCTTCATAATATAGGTTTATTGTATAAAAAATATACGATAAATATACGTTTTTAAAATTAATACGATATCAAATTTGTTTATTAAATAAAATATTATGTCCGATTAAATAAAAAATAATACAATTTAATATTTAATCTCCATTTCATACGTCTACCAAACAAAGATATTAACTTATTATCCGACCATTGTTGTACGGCATTATACAAGTCACATGGCCAGAAACATAGGCACATGGACGTTGTCCAAGCACATCAACAGAGCCCACATGCCCACCTAAAAGGACTTGGGTCGGCAGAAAAAGTAGTTACTCCGTGAAAGCAATCTGAAATTGACTAAAAAGAATCAAGAAGCAATCACTATTAGTACTGCCTGACAAACCAAGCTAATCTGCAAGAAGGTTAAAGGGAATTACATAACTCAAATTACGATGGTCAACTATAGAGTTTGAAGGAGTAATCCTAAGTGGAACACCCTATAATAAAGAAAAAAAAGGAATTAAATGCTTTAATATGATCAATATTAAAGTTCAATAGAATTAATTCACACATAAATATCGAGCATATTTAGAAAAATCATAGCTTAAAAAATTAAAACAATCGAAAAATAATAATTTTTGATACACATCACAATAACAAAAGTCGCGTATACCGAAAAAATAGAGTTTTTAGTGTCTGTTGATGCAAAAATTTGGATATTTTGCAGAACATGACTTCACTCATATAACAAAGAATTATACAAGTTTTATTAAATGTAAGTTACACCAATTCCGGATAGTATATATCCGTTAATTATAATCTCTTGTTTAAAGAGAACACACTTTGATTTTAACAAGAAATTATCACACGTTACCATTTACAACACAAGAGCATTTTATTTGTGGTGGTGGCTGGACCTGGGTTAATTGTCTAGGCTGCTTTACGTACCCGTTATCGGGATCAAGTTGATTCGTAGTTCAGAGTAAGAATTTGAAATTTATTTGGACTTGCGACTGCGCCTAATTTAACTAGACTGCTTACGTATCCGAAAGGGAATCAAGTCGAATAAAGTTTAGAATTTAGGAATTTAATTTGAGTAGGGTTTTAAATGAGTGAATGACGAATTTAATTTGGCTTGAAATGGGTGAGTGACCCAAGAATTTAATGTTCAATTTGATTTGGTTTGAAATGGGTGAATGACTCATTATTCTTTGGGATGAATTTGAGTCGTATTTAAAACAACTTACACTTATGTGAATTTTAGAATTCACATAGATTGTGACTTAACGTGGAATTAAATTCCATGTAAAATGATTGAATTTATGTGAGTTTGAAACTCGAAAATTTATTAAGAGTTCAAGACTCTTTTCATAAAGATCGTTGAGTTTTAAACCTCCTGAAAATTAGTAAAAAGATAGAAATTCTTTAATTTAATTTTTGCACTATTTAATTCAAAGGAGTTTAAAACTCCAAAAATAGTGATGGATTTAAATGGTCAAATTATTGTTTCATTTGCCAAAATGAATCAAAGATCCTTTGTTTTGATTTTTCATGTGCTTTCGAAAGAACACAAAATTTTGAGTCGTTGCACACTATCAGATGAGTAAAA